TTTTTTGTTTTGTTTTGCTTTGTTTTGTTTTTTGTTTTTCAAGACAGGGTTTCTCTGTGTGCCACCACCTGCATTTTTTTAAAAAAAATCTATTTTCAATAAAAAGAAAAAAGTGCCTATGAAAAGACTCATCCTGAATATCCCCAAATCATTCCCAATGAGTCTCACAATTGCTGTCAACAATACAATTTTACTTTGAAATCTACAAGTCCTTCCCTGGAATACTGGCTTTGCAGGACGAAATGAAGGACACAAACCTGGCTATTTCACCGTTCACCAAATGACCAGGCTCCCTGAAGCAGGGCAAATAACAAGGAGTGCCTGGGCCACAGACCATCGCAAAAGTGGCCTTTTCTTCGATTATTCATTAAGCAAACATTATGAACTGCCTGCCAACCACACTTTAATTTGTGACCTGCCGTTTGATTAGATACGTGATGGGACAGATGTTCCATGTACGAAAAAGACATTTGACAAAAAAAAAAAAAAAAAAAAAAAAAAATCTTTCTAGACAGTCGCCCAAATCCCCCGCTCAGCTCCTACTGCCTGGGTTCTATTCACTCGGGTGACAGCAGGAGACCCCATTGTTAGCAGGTTCATTGCAGGGGTGGCTGCTTTGTGAGACTCACACAGCATGGCATCTGTGAACAAGGTTATCAAGAGTTGTTGCAGCATCAGCATGTGGCAGCGGAGGGAGCTTCAGCTAGGGTTTTGTGGTGTTCTGTTTTTCTCTGGGTGGTAGTGTTTGTGCCTCCTTCCCTTTCTCCACCCCCACGCCTGAACCCACTCTTTCCAGTGAAATGTCGTTAGCATTTAATTAGGTATGTCCTCCGTGCTCATACACGTAGGACAGAGATCCAGGCCCTGGGGGTCTTTGGGGATGAGCACCTAGAACTTACTTTATTCAGAGGTTCATTATAAGAGGATAAAATTATTGACACACAATTAGGTCTACGACCTTAAAAGACACCTATGTAAGTGAGAGGGTTATGAAATACATGCTTCATTAGCTTCAAAGTAAAATACCTCAACTCACACCATAGCTATATGCATACACACACACACACACACACACACACACACACACACACACACGAGATATGGAGGAGCCTTCCTAGGTCTTGTTTTACTTTTACGAAGAAGTAGCAAACTATAAGCACTCTTATGTGTCCTTTAAAAAAATAAATTATAGAAAGAACTATAGGCCAATTCACTTTATAAAATGACTACATAAGTGATATATATGCTTCAACCAGTCTTGTCCATTATAAATGCACTGCCCTTTATTTCTAGTTTTCTGGAGTTTCTTTCCTTCCTTCCTTCCTGTCTTTCTTTCTTTCTAAAATTAAAAGATTCTTCTGCCAGTACCAAAAATGCCATACACACACAGTCACACACACAAACACATAGACACAGGCACACACACACACACACACACACACACACACACACACACACACATATACACATTTGAACAACAGTCTCAAATTTTAACAAATTGTGCTAAACTTGGATAGACATAGATGTTTCTGAACTTAAGGATTTCTATACAAGAACACAGAATACGTTTTTTCCATTAAGCCATGTCCCATCTACAGGGAATTTGCAGCCCAGTAAGGAAGTTAAGGTTGTATGTAAACAGCCTTGATGTCAGAAAAACAGGCACAAGTTGTGAAGGGTGGGACTAAGGGGACGGGATTCCAGAAGAGCGCTCTGGTCTCCACAGACTCTGCACGCACATGAAATGAAGAGGAGGAGGTAAGAACGATGGAGAACTGCTCAGCCAGGGCAGAGACATCTGAGAAACGGTTGTCTCCGGAGGACTGGGACAGGACTGAGTCCACCAAGGAATGGCAGTGAGGCTCCAGAGGCAGCCAGAGCTTGGCAGAGGTGAGAGAGTGGGACATTCATCCCACTTCAGGGCCCGGAACAAGACAAGATGGAGCGCTGTTTTAAGATCATCCCGATAGGCTTGTGGAAGAAGCCTGAGAAGGGACCAGCACTCAGACAGAGGGCAACGTTAGCCGTCCAAGGGAAAGAGTTCTGACCCGGGGCAAAGGAATGACAGAGAGAGCGAAATGGGGTGAAATGCATCCTCTGGGACCAGCCTTGGGAACGCAACCCTCACAAGACTGCGATGGGGTGAAAGGTGGGGAGGGGATTCTAGTCTTGAGCCTGGGTGAGCAGCAGGATGCCCTTCCATTAGCACAGATGAATGGATCAAAAGACCAGGTTTGAATGAAAGATGAAGAGTGTATCTTCAAACACAGGGCACATTTTACACACAAGCAAGATATTCAAAGAGGCATGATCTGGACACCAGCCCAAAATAGGAAGTCTACTTCACATGCTAGGGAGAGAAATGTAATAGATGGTTCTGGAAAAAACCCAACTGATGAGCTACACTCAAGCCATGTTGGTCTTCCTCACATCCCACAGGCTCCTCAGCTCACAGAAAACGTTAACTGATTCTGGACCTCTCCTCATCCTACTCCAAAGTGTTCCTCAGAACCACTGTATGGCACCCCCAGAATAGACAAGCATCCCTAAACACTACGCATCACTGAGTAGGCAGAGTTCACGATGAAGCCCTGGGGGAAAGAACAGAGTTCATGATGATGCCCTGGTAGAAAGAATAGAGTTCACAATGGTGGGTTCCCTGGGGGAAAGAACAGAGTTCACAATGGTGCCCTGGGGGAAAGAACAGCCAAGTGTTAGAACTGAGTGCATGCAATGGTATTTCAAAATCAAATGCATAACACCAGAAGTATTACAAAAACCTAATTTTGCTTTAAATGAGACCTTATTTTTAATGTAAAGGTAATTTAGAATTTCACTACCAAACTACATTTCAAAATTACCTATCTAAAGGAACAAAGAGATTGTCAATAAAGTTTGAGAAGAGAATGAATATATAGGTTGGTAGGTAAGTAGGTAGACTATAGATAGGTAGATAGATAGGCAGGTAGGTAGACAGATGATAGATAGATAGATAGATAGATAGATAGATAGATAGATAGATAGATAGATAGATAGAGTGCTTCTCTAAATTAAAATTTGATGACCTCATAATAACCAAAGCTGACCACTATTTTTTTAAAAAAATGGTAAATGGTTTTTATTTAAAAGGTAATAGTGTTAGATTTTTTAAAAATATTTAACCAACATGAAATTATATTCCACAAAAAATTAAGTGTACAAACCTCATAATGTTCATATTCATCCACATCAAATGTCTCAAAGTCAAAAAATCCATGCTGTAATCCCTAAAAGTAGAAGTGAATTAGTTTTCTGCACACAACACTAGTGAAAATCTGCTCATCATCTCTGGGATGTCTAAACACAAAATGGTCCCACCAACCTCAATGCAAGAGTCTCAGACTTTAACTTTTTACCACATCTCCAGAGTCCCTTAGAACACCGAAACTAAACACTCTAGGAAATATGAAAATGTGCCTCCAAAAGGTGCTTCTTTGCCAATTTATGTCAGTCCTATATGCAAAACTAATAACATATATAAAATGGAACGTACTAGAAAAGCTATAGCCAAATCTATAGACTTAGGACAGAATATATGACAGTAATCAACTTCTCATCTAGGAGCGAAATCAGTTCTTCTTAGAAAAACTTACCTTCCTTCTATCAGAAAGTAATATTTACAGAAAAAGGCACTTTTACTTAAAGCCCTAAATTCCTAAAGCTCTACTTTGGAGGTATTTGCTTTCTAGTGATAGTTTTGGCTAATATAAGTATATACCATCTGCTCTTATAATTTAGAAGGAAGAATGGACCTTTTTAACAAAAGAAATATTTCATACTTTTTTTAAGCAGTGACAAAACTCTTTTAAATTAGCTAGCTTGTTCATAACTAAAATTTTCAGGAACATAGAAGTCTTTTTTTTTTTTAAATAAGCCAGGAAGCTATAGAGATAACAGCCGAATATAAAACCACAGGTACATTTAAAAGTTACATGATCAAGTCATTAAAAATAGACAAAGAAGTCAGTAAGCCAAGCTGCAGTACGTGGAGACGAGCATGCATTGCAAAATGTGGAACTCGGATCTTCTAAACCAGAAACACCAAGACTGCTTATAAAATAGGCTCCTGGGTGCCTTCTCTGGGACCAGGGCACAAACTCAGCTTCTCCAAGTTATTGATTTACTTATTTAGACAGTCTCGAATAGCCTAGGCTGGCCTTGAACTGGCTGAGGATGACGTTAAAACACTGATCATCCTGCCTCCCACTCCTGAGTGCTGGGACCACGGGTATGTAGCACCATAACCATGGACAGGCATGCTACCAGCTGAGCTGCATGCATCCCCAGGCTCAGGATACACACCCTATTCATTCCAAAGAAAGTTCAACCATCCACTTCCCCCTTTATCTCGAAACTATGTGGTTGTCAGCTGCTTATTCATAGGACAAGTTGTTATGATAGTGGCAATACATCAGTCTGAAAGATACCCTCCCTTAAAAGGCAGTTTTTGACATGTTTTCCTGATGGTTGTTTGTTTGTTTGTTTGTTCGAGACAGGTTTTCTCTGTGTAGTTTTGGTGCCTGTCCTGGAACTCACTCTGTAGACTAGGTTGGCCTTGAACTCACAAAGATCCACCTGGCTCTGCCTCCTGAGTGCTGGGATTAAAGGCATGTGCCACCACCGCTCGGCTCCTGATGGTTCTTATATATACTAAATTCTGGCAACAATAACCAGCTGAATAATTCCTACAAAATAAATGGGACACATTCTATAAATTATTATTACTTCAACTTTCAAAAAGCTAATTAGGCAAAAGAAAAAAATTAGGCGGGGCATGGTGGAAATGCATTTAATCCTCTGTGAATTCAAGACCAGCCTGGTATACATAGCAAGTTCCAGGCCAGCCAAGACTACATAGAGAGGCAGACTCTACTTCAAAAATAATATTAATTAATTAATTAATTTAGTTAAAATAAATAAATAACTAGTTCATCCATACACGCTGTTAATTCCTGAGAACACTCAAAAATATACTGTTTTGCCTTTATCTTTAAACTATGAGTTTTCCCTGCATGTTTACACAACACATGGACAAGGTGTTGTGGTAACGGCAATATATCAAAGTCTGAAAAACACCCTTAAAAGGCAAAAATATGACCATGCTCCATATACATCCCCCAAGGAAATGCACTCCGTGCCATAAAAATAGACCTGCATGTGTCACCTTAAGCAAGGGGTCCTACTTGGGCACATGTGTCTCTCTCAGAGCCTTTTAGAACACCATTTGTACTTGGGAACACCCCAACATGAGAAAAGACTATGTTTAGAAAAGCCTTTATTAATGAATAAAGCCACACCTTTCCTGTAGGGCAGGAAGGATGTCATAAATTTCTATATTGAGACGCCAGATCCCATAATAGGGAGCAGAGTCGGTCCAGAGGGAACTGTGTGAATTCCATAAGCACTACAAAAGGAACAGCCTCGGTCAGATGGAAGGAGAGGCAAAATAATAATAGCCGGGACCATAAATGTGCTCTTCCCTCAGGCATGTTTCCTAAATGTTTTAATGATGGCTTGTATGTTGGGTAACCTGTCCATAAAGCTCTAGACTGCTGTTCATGGATGAACATTTGGGCTATACTATTGGGAAGAGTGGGGTTGAATGTTTCCATGGTTGTTGTTGTTGTTGTTTTATTTTAACGACTTTAAAGGTTTTGAGAGTTTAAAATTACTTAAGGGGCTGGAGAAATGGCTTGGCAGTTAAGAAGAGTATTTGTCGCTCTTGCATAGGACCCAGGATGGGTTTCCAGCATGCATATTGCAGCTCATAAGCCTCTGTAGCTCTAGTTGCAGGGGTTGCAACGCCCTCTCCTGACCTCTACAGGCACCGCATGCATGTAATACAAATAACCTATTCTTTAAAATAAAATCGCTTAAGAGTGAAGTAGTAAAGTCATAAACAGACACATTGACTAGATGGCATATCTACACTGATTCTCTCAAAACAGTGAGAGTCCATTTTATGTTACATCAGAAAACAAAAACTTGAGCTAGAATACTGCTTCGAAATTCATAACTGAACAGGTCACGGAAAGCCACATTTCTGACTGGCAAAGGCCAGCTGTCCGTTCACTATGTCGCTGTGTCCTCTGAGCCCTCTACAGAATTCATAGTACAGCCTGTACAGCTTCTCGGGCTGCAAATTAAACCTGTGCCCAACATTGCTTAACTTTTCCATTAGATCCCTAAATAATTAAATAACCATGCTTAATTAACTAACTTTGCAGTGCATCAGTCACCCGGAGGTATTGTTCAAACACAGGCCACAGGGTCCCACCCCCAGACTTTATGATTCAGTTCGGTCTGGCGCACTGCCGACCACTGACAGCATGGCTTAGATAACCTCACGCCCCTCCCACTAAGAGCTAGCTTGAAAATAAGACAAATGGGGGATGGAGCCATGCCACGGTCACAGCAGCAGCCGGAGAGTCCATTTGTCTCAGGGTACAAATGGCTTAAATGAGGAAGGGTAGTCTCTCTCTTCCACCCCTCCCCCACTGCCCTCCACTTTCCTGTCCCCGTCAACACACAAGTGGGTGCTCCACGTCCACATATTTTCAATCTGGAGGTTGGCTGGATTTGTGAATAAAGAACCAAAGCAGGGGTGAGGTAGGGGGAGAAAGAGATTAACGGGCTATAACAATGACAAAAGTACATTATATACATGCATGGATTTTTCAAAGAACAAAAAAAATAAATCTTTTAACTAAAAAAAAAAAAAAAAAAGCACAGAAACTGAGGGCTGACTGTATTTTACAAATCAATTATTCAGGAAGTGAATGGCCTTCTGCTTACTGACTCTAGATCTTTCCAACAGGCAAGTGTGCTGACAATTACTCCTTTCCCAGCTTCGGGGAAAGAGGGATGATAGCATTACCTTTCGGATTCCTTGTAAACAGTCAAGGATGGTGAGGTTGTAAGTGCAATTTCCAAAGGATGCGTCCCTACAAACACAAATAAACGGCATTAGAAACACGCATCCAGATTCTCAAATAATAAATACTAAGTCAGGTGGGCGTGCCGGCTGGACTTGGCAGCAGATCAAGAGCCTGAGCCTTCATTCGTATTTCCACCCTGTGTGCCATGGGTATAGGCTCGAATGAGTTCCTTGACCTACTGGAAGCTTGGTACCCCTGTAGAGAAAATGAAGATAACGACAGTAGCTATCACCCACAGGATTGGCTATCAGATGTCACAAAAATCACGTGAGGTCCTCTGTCTAGTGCCTGGCACAGTGGGAGCACTTCAATATTACGGCCACTATTACTTTGCGGGGAGTGGAAAGTAACACAGTCTTGTTATATACTCCAAGCTGGCCAGGAACTACTGCATAGACCAGGCTGGCCTCAAACTTGTAGCCATCCTCCTGTTTCTGTTTCCCGAGAACTGAGATCACAGGGTGTGTCTCAGGACACTTGGGTCATGACTACTCTTAATAATGACAAACTGGGCTGTTTCATCAAGTGAAGCAGGCATGACTATATAAGCATTCCGGCGGCGGAGGAACAACCTCCTGTCAGAAACCAGTGAATCCAAGCCTTTTTAAAAAGGTACAAAGCTCTGGGCCAACATATGCAGTCCAACAGAACCTACTAGTTATTTAAATACATATATGTCATCCCTCCACTGCAAAGAAGAAAGAAAATGATCTTCCTAACAATTCACTCAGTTTACTAGAATCAATAAGAGCTCTGAATGCACTATAGAGAGCTCTCAAAAAGACTGGGGAACCACCAGGCAGTGGTGGTGCACACCTTTAATCCCAGCACTCGGGAGGCAGAGGCAGGTGGATCTCTGTGAGTTTGAGGCAAGCCTGGTCTACAGAGTGAGTTCCAGGACAGTCAGGGCTATACAGAAACCTTGCCTCCAAAAACAAAAGACTAGGAACCAGGCCAAAATTATTTATTTAATATTTATTGTGATGCGTGTGTGTGTGTGTGTGTGTGTGTGTGTGTGTGTGTGTGTGTGTGCCTGAAAAGGACGGAGGCATCCTCTAATGCTGACATTATAGGCAGTTGTGAGCTACCTGAGGCGAGTGCTGGGAACTGAATTTGAGTATTCTACAAGAACAATGTAGGTTCTTAGCCACTGAGCCATCTGTTCAGACCAAAACAATGTTTCGAATTAAAAATAATACTTAAACCTATTGTACTGAAAATTGAGGGCTCCAGGCTGTTTTGTAGAGCAGCTTAACGGGTCTGTTTCAGGCAACCTAAAACTAAAGTATCAAGTTCAGGTCAGCTAAGCAAGAACTGGTCCTGGGACTTCCAAGGTGTCCACAGCACGAAACTTGACCCTGAGTTTCTCAGTCTCTCCGCTGGGCCCCACTGCTGACCCAAGAAAAGGGCTGTCAGGAACTGTGCCTGGCACAGATGTCCCAGACAAGGTTGGCTCAAGGGCAGCATCCCGGGAGGGTGCCAGGAGAACCCTGCCTTTCACACATAATTAATATAAGGCCAAGCGTTATATCACCAGCTATCCAAGGGAGCTTGACCCTGTGGCATCCGAGCTGTGAGTTAAAAAGCAAATGCTTCACCCCGAGGCTTCAGTATCCGATAGCATCACGGGAAAACAGTGACTTACCACAGCTTAACAGAAATGTCTCTTAAGGCCTCACACTTCTGTGTTAGCCCGTGTGAACGGGAAGGCCTAACCAGACTTCCACGGGGGCTTTCTTGATTCTGTTTGTGTTGTTTTTTTTTAAACGCCACCTAAATTCACCGGTCCAAACAAAACAGTTCCCTTTCCAGCTACCTTGAAAAGGTCTGAGATCTGAGATGGCCTACCACTTTAGAGGAATGTAGATTCCTTTGCACACACCCGTCTCTTTAGAATAAGAGGGCTTTATTCTGAAGCTAGCATCTTAGCAACCCCTTGACCAGTGATCGGAGAATGTCTACAAACTCATTCTTCCATGTAGTACTATTTGGTATATAAGGTAAGTACAGGATTACCAGGAAGGGGACTCAGTTAAATTTAAACAAAGTTAACCAAAATATAAAAACATAATTTGTAATACCTTGATGAGTGCTTTCTAATGGGTGAGGGGGTGTGGCAGTGTGAGTGTGCTTGCCTGGCACCAATAAGCTCCCTGGCCGCCCCCACCATGCTCAGATTTGTGTAAGTATAGATAATATCCTAAGATACAGCAGTAATGTGACAATGACATGTCTGTCTGTGGTTGTTACTGCGACAGCCACACCATTGGCTCTACTCTACCTTCCAACATTTGCAACTGAATCTAATCTCAGCAACTAGGAGAGTGAAAACAAAAACACAATGCTGTTCTCAACCAGATTCCCTGACTCTGAATTCTCTTGGTAAATCTAGGCTTAGAGCTGCTGCTTTGAGTGTTTCAAGTTCTAAAATATAAAATAAAATAAGACTAAGGGCTGGGGAGACAGCCCAGGTGAGAAGGTGCTTGCCTTGTGAATTTGAGGACCTGGACTGGACTCCTAGAATCCATTTTTTTTTTTTTTAAGCCTGGTGTGGTATGGTGGTGTACTTTTATCCCAGCACTAGGGAGACAGAAATGGGCACCAGGAGAGCTGGAGTCCTCGGGGACTGCTAACCAGCTAGCCCCGCCTCCCTTGCATGTTCCAGGCCAGTGAGAGTCTCTGTCAAAAAAAAAAGTGACTAGTCCCTGGGGAAGGACACCCATGGTTGTCCTCTGGCCTCCACACACATGCTCACACACAAGCAGTAACTCACGCATGCAGAGAAAGAAAGAGAGACTTGGAGGTCCTTATACCCCAAGTCTATCTCTACCCCTAGACGCACTTGAACGAGGACATAAACATGAGGTACTGGAGAAGACACCTGGCCCAGGCTGCCTGAATATCTGCAAGAGAGTGTTGAGATTCTCATGACATCTCTTGTACTTTCACGGCCCCCACCTATGACTGGCAAGCAAGCTCTTGGTGAGAGGAAAGTTACCATGCCACGCACAGGGCTGGTACACAATGCTATCATTGCAGGCTAAAAAAAAAAAAAAAAAAGGTTTTCAAACTGAAAGAGAACAAGGAAAGCAAATATCAAGTCTATCCCCCAGCCCAGGACAGATGTCAAGCCTTGAGAGCCTACTGTGCCAGCTAAGTGGCTTAGATGCATTAGTGCACAGTCTCATGACTGCTAGCTAACAGAACAGGATCCCAAGTCCTGTCGCCAGACTGTTCAAGAGAGGAGGGGCTGATTAGGGGCATCTGGCTCAGACACAGTTGCAGGACAGTAAACAGGGAAGTGATGGCCAAAGTGAACACACACACACACACACACACACACACACACACACACACACACACACACACACGCACCAGTGAAGGTAGGACACATACATCCACCATGTCCCGTCAACTCTCTTTAAAGGTTTCCTTTCTCCAAAATGAAGCCAGACAGGGGGTGGTAGGGTGGGGGTGGTCTTTAAACTAGAAATCAGATAGATAAATAGGAAATGAATTAGAAAACCAAGAAAAATGAATGCTAAGTAATTGATGGAAAAATCCTTGGAGGGCTGGAGAGGTGGCCACACTGGGTCCTTCTAGAGGTGAGATTGACTCGAAGGAGATTTGAACTTCACTGAAGACGTTGAAAGGTTTGACCCCCACAGGAGCAATGTTACTTCCCATTAAAGAAACCAAGCTTCCCCGTGGATATTCATCAACCCCTCAGAACAGTGAAACAGTAAGAGCTGTTTGCAAATAGAACAGGTGCCTAGTGAGACCCGCAGACCGGAGGTGGAAAAGCCCATGCCAAGAATGAGTTTTAGCTGTGTTATAAAACAAAAAAGACTTCGGGAGTTTGGAAAGCACCCGGGCTCTGCTCAAAAGTCCCTTCCTGCTCTGAAGTCCATTACTCAGGGCTTTGGATTCTCTCTTTTCTTTCCATATCACCCTCCTTGCCAACAAAATTTAAATATTTTCAGGTCTCCATCATCTTTTAAAAAGAGCCAGGCATCCAAAACTTGCTTGGTTCCATATGGTCCTTCAGCTACCACTTGATCTCTTAAAAATAAGATCACTAAATACTGTCTTTATCTTTCCAGTGGTTTCTAGTGTGCGCATAGTACAATCCCCTTGCCATTCAGTCCAGAACGTTCTTACCACACCCAAAAGAAACATCCGTCCGCAATCACTCCTCCTCTCCCAGGCCCTTGGCAACCACTCATCTGCCTCGTGTCTCTGGATTTACTTGCTTCCTCAAAATCCACAGAACATTCTGTGAGCATCATCTCACCAAGAAGTCATCCTCTCCTTTAAATACTCTTTTCTCAGGATCCCCAAGTGTTCATTTTACTTCTCTACCATTAATCCCCAAACCCCCTTGCAAAGTTATGCTCTGAAGGGAGACCTCAGCAATGCCAGTCCAGGCCCCAGTTCTTGTCACTGCAGACCCTCTGTCTAGACTTTAAACGTGCATCAGTATTACCTGGGTGGCTCCTCAAAAACAGGCAGATAGGCCATGTGGAGTTTCTGAATCAGAACGTCTGGGACAGGGCCTGAGGCCCTGCATTTCTAAAGCTCTCAGCTGGTGCTGATACTGTAGGTGGAGAGGACACCAATCCTACTCAGAGTCATCTACAGAAATTACGTCTACACAGTGGCCCTCAATCCATCGCTCTAGCACAACGTCTAGGAACTCCAAAACAGTACAGCAGCCAGGTGCCGTGGCATGTGCCTGTAGTCCCAGTACCTGGGAGCTGAGGCTGAAGGATTTCTGTGAGTTTGCGGCCCGCTTAGACTAAACAGTAAGATCTTGTCTCAAAACAACAACAACAACAACTCTGCCTAAAAATTTTTTTGTAAATAACATAACCATCTTTCCATTTAGGTGACTCAAATTCACTATGTAAGAAAAAAATCCTCCAGGCTGGGGATGTAACACTGTTGGTAGAATTCTTGCCTAAAATGCACGAGCCCTGGATCAGATCCCAAGCACTTAATAAAGT